AACTTCAGTTATGATACTTAGCATGTGCTATCTTGGCTCCCAGGCATTCTCTTTTAGTAAATTTATGGATTTTAAAACTTCTAGCTCCCCTACCTCAAAAAGAGGCCATTCTCCAGTTATGGGGTATTAGGAATGGGAAACCTTTGAAGAACATTTAATCTGTGATAGACATAGTGACAAAGAACAGTAAAAATGTATGCAAGAGATCCAACAGTGTCAGATGTGCACCTATTAGGGCATTTTAGGCACTAATAATAGAGAAAATACATTGAGAAGGGGAGAGAGTACATTAACACCTTTAGGAAGGATAGGTCTGAATGTAATTATAGAGACAGTGTAGCTGGCCCTGACTCACTGCGAATTCCAAATTTCTTAAACTATTCCAAATCTTAGTTTGTTATCTTTGGAATGGAAAGTGTAATAGCACCTGAATTCCTACACTTGATCTTAGCCAAAAGGCCGAGAAGCGATATAGCACCTGAATTCCTAGGATTATGATAAAGATTCATTCAGTGCACTAATGCATCTGAAAGTTATCTATGAGGTGTAAGGCACAGAGAAGGGAGGATAGGTCCATGACACTTCAGAATTTTTTTTTTTCCATTTGGCCTCTTAAGGTTCTGTCCTATGTGTTTCCCATCAAGCCTCTGAGCCCAGAATGTTGGTGGCAGTTTCTCTGAACCTCACATAGTTACCCCACAGCCTGATTCTTTTTAGTAGGTGGTATTCAGGGAAGTACTGTCTCCCCACTCACCTGAACAGTATGGTTCCTACTGGTCCCAGCACAGCCCTACTCAAGAATGGCTGCATGTGGCTGCAGAGGGAGATACCACCTTCTCCTTAGTTCTCTGGCCTCAAATAAGTGCTACTAGAGTAGAAGGTTCCTAACATCCCTTTAGCTGGAAGTAGACATATTTATAGAAGTTGCAGTTAAACTGTGTGCATTTCAGGTCTTCTGATTTCAAGTGTATCATTCACTGTTGGAAGGAGAGATCTTCAAATATGTCACTGGCTATATTCTTCAGAGACTTGTCCATCCCACCTACCTTGGGGAAATAGCTTGTGAAGTCTTTGGTTGGAGATTCTCCATCTAGTGTGCTTATGTTTTCACCACATACTACCCTACTACCCATGGCCTCTTGCTGCTATCTTGGCCATTTTAAACCCCCATTCAACCTCAGGATTCTATGTTTTGTAAGCAAGCAAATAACCTGAGCCTGTGGAAGATCTATTGGTCAAATGTAAATCAGTAAGGGAGAGGGACTTGCTTAAAGCAGAAGCTAGTCTTGAAGCTAGGACTCTCATGAATATAGTGTTCTTTTAATTTTATCAGTCTAGCCCACTAGTATCTAAGCTTCATAAGAATAGATATCATTGGGTGATGCCCGTGGCTCAGCCTTGGCCCCATATACCAAGGGTGGGGGGTTCAAACCTGGCCCTGGCCAAACTGCAACAAAAAAATAGCCAGGCATTGTGGTGGGCACCTCTAATCCCAGCTACTTGGTAGGCTGAGTCAATTGAATCGCTTAAGCCCAAGAGCTGGAGGTCGCCATGAGCTGCGACACCATGGCATTCTACTGAGTGCAACAAAGTGAAACTGTGTCTCAAAAAAAAAGAATAGATATCGTTTCCCACTGCCCATTGTATACTTAGTACCTAACACAGTACCTGGCATAAAGTATGTGCTCAATAAATATTTGTTGAATAGATATGTTAATAGCTACTATTGTTGAGTTGGACTCCTTTAGCCATGTCTACCAGAGAGCCAAACAACAATTCCGGTAGTCCACTAAAAACTACCTAATGTGAACCTAGCTGGTCTCTGGCAGAATAGAGGAGAGTAGTGCCAGGGAATGTGAAGGCATTGTCCCTCTTGTGCACTTTGGAAAGCCTGTTTATCTGTGAGTGGCCAGCTTGTTCATAAGCAATTTTCACTCCCTTTTCCCCATGTCTTTACACAATAACAGCAGTGTTCATGCCAACGGTAATATCCAAATCAAAGCTTTCAGTGGTTTCTAACAGGCAGCCATGCAATCATTTCTGTCTGTCTTTGTGAGGTAGCCCAGAGTTTGGCTGTGGAGTACATATTTGAGGCATTACTCAGTTTAAAATTTTTTTGTACATGCACTGCCCATTATGGCATATCCAGCAGGAAGGGCTGCACTGAGCAATTTAATCTGTAGAGAATTGTGCCCCTGAAGTTTGGAGATGGGATTAGCCCCTGTGCTCAGGGGTGGAAAGAGCCAGGTACAGATCAAGGAAGATGGTAGAGAAGTCCTGGAAATCATCATGTTGGTGCAGACACCCAGTGGCTGTCCAATCCTGCTGTTCCTACTGTTGCCCACCTAGGCTGCCATAGGGCCTAGAGCTGCATATATTTGCAGATTTGGGCATGTTTTGGTTAAGGTAGGATAATTTGGGGGTCAGCAGGAGGACTTTTCCTCCCATCTACTCCTGAGACAGGGGTGTGGCCAACATTTGAGAAGTATAGGTTTAGGCTTACTAGATAAGATTGGCCACCCTAAAATAGAGAGAGCCTCTAAAGTTCACTTTGTCTTCAAAAAGCTTCTTTCATTCATTTCTCCCCTGGTGAGCTAGATACCATACAAGAAATAACAGATACAGTTTCTGCTATTTGATAGGGATACTTAAATAAAGAGTGACTGTATTTACTTTACAATTTTAGATTTCTTTTTCATTATAAAATTAACACATATTTGCTGTAAGAAATGAGATGGCACTGAAAAATATAGGCTCCCTGTCTTCTATTCCTGACTCTACTTTCCAGAAAGAACCATTATTAATCAGTTAGTTATGTCAACATAACCTTTGCTCAGATGAATTTATATACATATATCCTTAAAAACACATACAGTGAAAATCCATATTTGTCTGCAGATTTCTTTTAAACTTAGTATGTTGTGGCCATATTTTCATGTCGAATCAGACTTTAGCCTATATGGGTTCATAAATAAGCAGATGGATAAGTGGGAAGAACACTTAAAAATCAACACAGATAAAAGGACCATCCTCTTCATTAAGTGTAAAATGAAAAGGACATTGTGAGGGCTTGCCTGCCTGAGAGGGAAGGCTTTCTGAAGAAGGTGAGGTTTTTGGACCTTTCTGTTTAGATGAAGGATCATGAGAGCTGCTCCCCTTTCCAAGCTGGCTCTACCTCTAGAGATTATTGTGAATTCATCTGTATCTAAGTGATCTTAGTGAAGTGATTGGTCGTAGAAAAGCCATTTTCTTTTTTTTTTTTTTTTTTGAGACGGAGCCTCAAGCTATCCCCCTGGGTAGAGTGTCATGGCATCACGCTCACAGCAACCTCCAACTCCCGGGCACAAGCGAGTCTCCTGCCTCAGCCTTCCAAGTAGCTGGGACTACAAGTGCCTGCCACAACGCCTGGCCATTTTTTGGTTGCAGCCATCATTGTTGTTTGGCGGGCCGGGCTGGGGATTCGAACCCGCCACCTTAGGTGTATGTGGCTGGCGCCTTAGCCGCTTGAGCCACAGGCGCCAAGCCCAGAAAAGCCATTTTCCTGTACCCTCTCTGCTCTGTGGTTTTACCAGTTTGGGATAGTTTAATTCAAGTACCTGACTAAGAAGTCTGTTCCTCTTGACTGCTAGAGTTGTCTGAGGTGAAGGAAAGAAGCCATGTGCATATATATATGTGTTGGTGGGGAACACATGACTTTTCAATCTTCCCTAAAGAAGACCAGTGGGAAGTCCTGTTACTTGTTAGTGAAGGTGGATTAGAATCCCCCCCAGGATATATACATACCAGGAATCTTGTCTAGGTGATGGAAAAATGGAATTTGTAAGAGCATTCAGCTATAGCTGAGCTATACTAGTTGAAGAGTTTAGGAAGACAGTGATATAGAAAATCTAAATAAACACATGATCTATTTTGAAAAAGATTCTAATCTTGTAGCTGTTGACCCCAGTCTTAGAAGCTTTCTAGCTTGAGGGTATTGATCTTTTTGTAGGAGTCAGGCCAGGAGAGAAGCAGAAGTAGCATTACCAGAAATGCTGGCTTTCTTCTTCCCACTCATGAAAGGCCCTACCCTTCTCCTCTTTGTTCCCAGACTTCCACAGTAGGTGGAGCACAGCTGCTTGCTGAGGTTTTAATCCTGGAAGCCTCTACCAACCAGAGGTTGACCCTGACTAGGCCAGGCCTATAGGCTGCATCAGGCATTAGAAGCTGCCTATAGACTCTGAGTGACTGGACTTTTCTGAATGTTACTGGGGCAGGGAGAGTAAAGTTCTGAGATCTTACTCCAAGAAAGAGCAAGGGATTGACTTTTCAAAGAATTTTTTTTGCTACTTGAGAAGGTATTAATCTAAAGTCATTTATTATAGCCAGGCTTATGAGAAAGATCTGTATCTGTACTTACTTGTTGTGTGACCCTGGGGAAATCCCAACCTCCCTAGCCTCCCTTTCTCCCATTGGTAATGTTAGTTTCAGAGTTGGTGGGAAACTGTCAAAGTTTGTTCTGTAGAAAATCAAGTGTACAGGATTCACATGCTCAGAGAAGTTTACATCATGCTTTAATGGCCTCTACTGACAAAGGCAGTAGAGTGTGTCAATAGATGAAAGACATTCAGCTCACCATTAAGAATGGTTATAATTCTTAAAAGGGTATGCCTCAGTTATCAGGAAGAGTTCACTTCTGTGAAACAGTTCATTTATAGATTATTTAAGATCAATGAGGCATTGCCATATAATCAGCTCTCAACTATCCATAATAGAACTTTCTTCTTCCTGCTACCTGTGGAGGGCTACATGAACTCAAGGAATGTAAGCTCTTCTCATAGTCCAAATAATATGTAATTACTTAATAAACATGCTACCAAAATTTCCCAAGTAAAGTGGTTATAGTGCTGTTACTGCGTAATCCATAGGGTGTTACTCTTAAGTTAATGTGGGTAACTGAAAAAAGTGAAATTTACTCTCTGGAACTAGGAAAGTGATAGGCATCTACTTCTTAGGTCATTTATACCATCACTCATCATCCCTCCAGGGTGTGAACTCAGGTAGGGGTAACAAATTTATGACACTGGCAATGGGAAGGACGCAACCCTTCAAAGGTTTGAGATAGAGAAGACCATATGTAAGAGTGTTCAAGGAATGTTTTTCTGGGGAGTGTTTGAGTAGTTCTCCCTTCTCCACACTGTTTAGGATTCAACCTTTGACAGGAAGAGCCAAGGCTAAAGAAAATCTTGAAAGAGCCATCAGAGACCTCTTTGGAAAGTTCCTCTAGAAGCTCTTGATGTTTTAGCAGCATAGAAAAGGAAATTCTAGGGTTAAAAGCTGAGAGGGAGTCTTAATTTTAGGGCATAGCTACCTACTTTCCAAGTAGTTCTGTATTTTAAACAGCTCAGTCTGATGTAAGTTGAAGGAATCTCTTTATAGGTTGGCAGACATTGCCCTGTAATTTTCTTCCAATGTTAAAATAATGATAATTGTCT